ATCAGTGGCTGACTATGCCATTGAATTTCGCACCTTGTCGTCTGAGGTTTCCTGGAATAACAGTGCACTTGTTAGTGCTTTTACTGAAAGTTTATCATAACTTGTGTATAACCTGCTTGATGAATTGGCAGCAAGGGATCTACCTGACCAGTTGGAGGAGCTTATATCTTACACTTCTCATGTAGATAAGAGTATAAGGGAGAGAAGACTAAGTAGAAGTGTTTCCAGGTTGGTTCGCAGGTTTAGTAACCCTACGCTACTTGCCTTGCCTGCACCAGAACCAATGGAATTGGGTTCTATGAGAATATCTGAAGAGGAGAAAAATCATATAAGAAGAGAGGGGCTCTCTTCGTGTTGATTTCTCAGCCTTACGCGTTTCGTAGGGTACTGCCCTACTTCATCAGAGGCATTCAAACGAGTGTTTGATCCTCCAGAAAGAGAAAGTAGTGCTGGCAAGGCCCTTATGAAAATCAAACAGGGGAATAGATCAGTGGCTGACTATGCCATTGAATTTCGCACCTTGTCGTCTGAGGTTTCCTGGAATAACAGTGCACTTGTTAGTGCTTTTACTGAAAGTTTATCATAACTTGTGTATAACCTGCTTGATGAATTGGCAGCAAGGGATCTACCTGACCAGTTGGAGGAGCTTATATCTTACACTTCTCATGTAGATAAGAGTATAAGGGAGAGAAGACTAAGTAGAAGTGTTTCCAGGTTGGTTCGCAGGTTTAGTAACCCTACGCTACTTGCCTTGCCTGCACCAGAACCAATGGAATTGGGTTCTATGAGAATATCTGAAGAGGAGAAAAATCATATAAGAAGAGAGGGGCTGTGTTTTTACTGTGGGAAGAAGGGACACTTTAGGAAAGACTGCCCAAATAGGCCGAAAAGCTCTCACACCTAAGTCCAATTAGGGGACCGGCCTTGGGTGTTATGATGATGTCCGCTAAAACACCTCACACTTCCTCCTACCTATCACCTTGTCTTGGGGTTCTTTTGTCACTCAGACTCAGGCATTGCTTGACTCAGGTGCTGCCGAGAGTTTTATAGATCTAGCTTTTACTACTCAGCTAAACATACCCCTTAAGGAAAGAGATACACCCTTGGTCGTTGAGGCCATAGATGGTAGACAACTTCTTAATCCAATAATTACACATGAGACAGAGGCTTTACAGCTGCAAGAGGGCTTATTGCATAGGGAACTCATAGTGTTACAAGTTATTTGTCATTTAGGAGAGCCTGTTGGTTATTGCAAGAAAACACTCCAAGTTGTTTTCTGTAAGGGCTCCTCAGTACACCCATGGCCCCATGCATAGGATTGCCAGGATTTTGGGAAGGTTCAGTTACAATTGTATGACTTGTAATTTGAGTTGAAATTGAGAGTATTTCTTCTGATAGGCCTATATTTTGCTTGGGGCTTATCACATACCCCAGTTTTATTTATTGCCATGAAAATTTATATATTTGAAACATAGACATCCCGGGGCATTGTATATGGAGTGCTTTGATGCAACTGTTTTAGCCCCAAAAAATGGAGAAAGTGTGTAGTGGTAATTTTTCAATTTTTATTTCTACACACACATTACTTTTGACTGTAATTTACAAGAGCCTGTTGTTGGTTATTGCAATAAAACAATCCAGGTTGTTTTCTGCAAGGCCTCCTGAGTACACCCATGGCCCCATGCATAGCTTTGCCAGGATTTTAGGAAGGTTCAGTTACAATTGTATGACTTGGAATTTGAGTTGAAATTGAGAGTATTTCTTCTGATAGGCCTATCTTTAGCTTGAGGCTTATCACATACCAAAATCCCCGAAATGATCTGGAGCTAAAATTGTAAAAAGTTAGTTGCATTCCAGGGTTTGCTTTTTTGAACAACAAAAAAGCATTGTGGGTTGCAATCTGCATTAAGTAAATTGCAACCTTTATGTACCAGGTCCTTGTCTTGTGTATAATTAGGTAGGGCTGCAGCAGCTGATCTGCCAGATCAACCCCACCCATGTGCCAGTTATAGGCCTTGATGCACACTGGCTTCCTTGTGCTCTCTGCTCTGCCATGTACAGAGACCTCCACAGTCCTCTCAGTGTGGATAATGGTAAGAAGGTACACATCCTTCTTGTCTCTGTACTTAACTGCCAACAGCTCCTCTTGGCGCAGAGCTGAGGTCCCCCCCCTTCGTAGCCGGGTGAGTGAAAGTTGTCCTGGGAAACCTGCTCGGTTCTTTTTTATTGTACCGCAAGCTACTGTATCCAAACAATACAGTAGCTTCAACAAAGGGACACTTGTATAAAAATTGTCTGTATACAAGTGGTACCCTTTGTTCATCAGGGGGAATATCAGGTCCCAAACAATCTTGCCCCTGGTTCCCATATGTTCTGGGTAACCTGGAGGGTTAAGGTGGCTATCCTTTCCCTCATACACCCGGAAGGCCTGAGTATACGTAGTCCCACTATCAGAGAGCTTATACACCTTTACACCATACTTGGAGCGCTTGGAAGGAATATACTGCTTGAATCCCAGCCTTCCCTTATACTTCATCAGGGATTCATCCACGCATATATCCCTTCCAGGTGTATAAGCCTCTGCAAACCTGGCAGCGAAGTGGGTAATCAGGGGCGGATTTTATACAGCCTGTCAAACTGGGGATGCTCCCTAGGGTGGCACAGGCTCTTGTCGTTGAAGTGCATGAAATGCAGAATCATTTCATACCTCTTCCTCGACATACACTGGGAGTAAACGGGGGTAGAGCAGATGGGGCTACTGCTCCAGTAGGAGCGGATGGAGGGCTTCTTTATGATGCCCGTCAGCATAATCAATGCCCAGAATCTTTTAAATTCTGGCACATCGATTGGGGCCCATTGCTGCTTTGCCAAAAAAGAGTCGGGTTTACAGCATGGAACTGATGGGCATATAAATTAGTTTGGGTGACAATGTTCCCTAACACATGATCGCCCAGAAACACCTCCATAAACTGCTGAGGGCTAAATTGATGCCAGGATTTGCAGTGAAGGGTGGGATATCTGGCCTCTGGCGATGAAGCACTATCCACTCCTCAGAAGTACTGCTAGCTGGAGCAGCACGTCTCCTTCTGGCAGGGGGACTAGCAGCCACAGATACATCATAACTAGATACATCACTAGCAGCAGACACTGTATCTAGTGACATATCTGAGCATCTGGCATGGTCAAAATCAGGGTCGGAGTCAGACATAGACGTGTCAGACTCTAATGCAAGGATGGCATACGCCTCCTCAGCACTATACGACCTCTGTGACATGATCACAATCACTTTATTTAGTGATATGTCACACAAAAAAAAAAAAAACACAAAAAAAAATTAACCTTTGGGTCTCACAATTTTACAAATCCCTACCTAAAACTACCTAAATCACTCTACCTAAAACACAGATCTCTCTCCGTCTCTCACTAAAACACAAGTGAAGAGAGGGAGGGAGATCCATACTAATCAGAGTCAATATTTACTAATATTGACCTGATCAGACAAATGGTGATCATTTATAAGTTATAATAAACATTGTTATAGAAGCAAGCTCTGATTGGATGTCCCTAGCCTGCCCTATGATGAGGTAGGCTAGGGACACCCCCAGAAGACCCATGGCTGGGAGGGAGGGAGGGGGTTCATAGCACTTTTTATTTTAATTAATTATTTTTTTAAATTTGAATTCTTCACTGAGTGTCTCGACCCATTGCTTCCGATGCTCTGCTGTACTGCCAGGCGGCACATGGAGCAACCCGGAAGTGATCGCTCCGGGGGGAACGATCACCCGGTGCTCTCTTGGTGCCCGGCAGAAATGAGAGGTATTGCATGATGCCTCGACATCGAGGCATCGCTGCAATACAAATTAGCCGCGGACGTATCAGGTACGTCCGTGGTCCTCAAGGACTGTTTTCTGTCGGACGTACCTGATACGTCTGTGGTCGTGAAGGGGTTAAATGTGATTTTTTTTTTGTGTGTCATTGCAAAGTTGTTGCAGTTTTGTTTGTATATTTGTCTTACCAAAAATATTACTCTCTGTTGTTAGTGGGCCCTCCTTGCGATTTGCTCCTTGATGGTTATATTATATACAGCCCCTACCTGGGGCCACACATGCAATAATAATTCTATACTGCAGCAAACTTTTATGCTGTTCTACTTATTACTTACTGTGTTCACATGTTTGTTTGTATGTATGTATATATATATATATAGATATATATATATTGTGAGCGAAAACATGGAATAGTGGTTGATGGAAGATACATCAGGCCTGATTTGCTAAACAGCAACCAGAGAATTTTCAGTTAAATGCCCCAGGGAGAGATGTTAAAGTTTGCAATATGCATAGCTAATGCTCTGCAAAACATGGTATGGGTCCCTGGGGCGGAGTATTTGGAGAGCAGGGTGGGCCAATGCTCCAACAGCACTAGTTGCTGTGTAACAGACTAGAATTTGGATCTGACTTAAGAGTTTACTAATTGGCACTCACCTGTGGCTAGTCAATTAGCAGACAGGCCTTTAAAAGAAGAGGGCAGCCTGCTGCAGAGTGAGGGAGAAAAAGCCAGCTAGGAGAGCGAACAACAATTGTGTTTATTGCAAATCCATTTCTTTTTTTTTGGAAAATTGGTAAGTGGGAAAGCCACCCAATTACAGATAGTGATTTCTGTCTAGTAAGAGCTCAAGTAAGAGCAAGGAATTTCGTTTATTATTATTCAAAGCACCTGTTTTTCTTATCAAATAAAAAAAAGGAAAACCGAGCTGAATGTATCCTGGACTTTGTATACCCTAGAATGCTGTGGTTACTGCAAGATCTGTGACAATCCTACCGGTAAAAGAGGTGGTTTGTTACTTTATATATATAAAAAGAGAGAGCTTGGCACTCACCCTTTATTGAGTATATCAACTGAATCTTGCCTGGGTGCAAACCTTGGCGTTATGCATACAAAAAATATGAACAAAAGGTGCACTCACAGGTCTTCAAAATGTGCTTATTTTATTTTACATGTGCAAAAAAATCTCCAAATAAATCGACGTTTCGACCCCTAAAGGGTCTTTTTCAAGTCTTTTTTAGGGGTCGAAACGTTGATTTATTTGGAGATTTTTTTGCACATGTAAATTTGCATGTAAAATAAAATAAGCACATTTTGAAGACCTGTGAGTGCACCTTTTGTTCATATTTTTTTTATATATATATATATATATATATATATACTGCTCAAAAAAAATAAAGGGAACACAAAAATAACACATCCTAGATCTGAATGAATTAAATATTCTTCTGAAATACTTTGTTCTTTACATAGTTGAATGTGCTGACAACAAAATCACACAAAAATGTAAAAATGGAAATCAAATTTTTCAACCCATGGAGGCCTGGATTTGGAATCACACTCAAAATTAAAGTGAAAAAACACACTACAGGCTGATCCAACTTTGATGTAAAGTCCTTAAAACGAGTCAAAATGAGGCTCAGTCGTGTGTGTGGCCTCCACGTGCCTGTATGACCTCCCTACAATGCCTGTGCATGCCCCTGATGAGGTGGCGGATGGTCTCCTGAGGGATCTCCTCCCAGACCTGTGTAGCAGAACCCCTTTGGCTGTCCCATTTATTTCCTTTTATTGTTGGCACTTCAGAGTTTTCCCTGTGCCTGGACTATACAGAATTACATATAACTATATGTGACCATACTTTGTTCGGTAGAAAGATATACCAGCTTGCATGTAAACGACTATATTCACCATACAAACAAACTACCGAACAACCGGACCACCCTGGTGGGAAGAATGGATGGAATTTACCCCCTGATTGCTTGTTACATTCCCTTGAACGCACAAACACTCTGCTATATTCCATGAGTGGCCGCCATTTCGGCAGCCGAACACGTGGCGGCGGCCATCTTAAACCCGCAAACAGCGGTGTTTGGTCGTTGAGTGTCTGGAACTCAAAACGGACACTCGACTAACCGAACACCGCTAAGACCTCCAGGGCTTCAGAAAGTACCCATAGAAACACACGAACGGCCCGTCGTTCGGTAAGATGAATCCCACGAACTAGGGGATTCATCCGATTACCAACTTCACTATGGATGGTATAGCCTTTCGGGACTTTTGAGGCACGAACTGGGACCGACTGCAGGGCCAGATCTCATGGAACTATTTTCGGCTACTTTACCAATGCGGTCGGTCAAATCTTTACCTTCTCATAACTCCCGAACCCCTGGTCTGATCCAGGTGATTTTTGGATATGTTCCTCACCCAGATCAGGGCTACCAGGGGGTACCATATTTAAAGGTGTATCTCACATATTTGGGGTACATCTAAGAAGTGGGGAAAAGTATGTAATGTATAATTGTGTTAACTGTTAATCTAAGGGGAGAAGATGTGTGGGAGGTAACGTCTATGGGATTGGTTACTGAACTAATTGTGGCAAATCCCCCCCTTGCATGGGAGAATCTCATAAAAGCAGGAATGTTGCCATTAAAGCTCAGTTCTACTCCTGATCCTGTGTGTCGTCCAGTGATTGGGAAGGTTGATGGGATACTCGTGGATTTTATTGCTGATAGTGCTGGATACTCTCTGGGATTTATTACTTGTTCCTGCATTCTTTTAATATATGAGTGGAGTTAAGCTGTGGGAAATCAGCTCTCCGCTACAACCTGGACTAAAGCATCTGCCAACTCCTGGACAGTCTGTGGTGCAACGTGACGTTGGTGGATGGAGCGAGACATGATGTCCCAGATGTGCTCAATTGGATTCAGGTCTGGGGAATGGGCGGGCCAGTCCATAGTATCAATGCCTTCGTCTTGCAGGAACTGCTGACACACTCCAGCCACATGAGGTCTAGCATTGTCTTGCATTAGGAGGAACCCAGGGCCAACCGCACCAGCATATGGTCTCACAAGGGGTCTGAGGATCTCATCTCGGTACCTAATGGCAGTCAGGCTACCTCTGGCGATCACATGGAGGGCTGTGCGGCCCCCCAAAGAAATGCCACCCCACACCATTACTGACCCACTGAAAAACTGGTTATGTTGCAGGCAGCAGAACATTCTCCACAGCGTCTCCAGACTCTGTCACGTCTGTCACATGTGCTCAGTGTGAACCTGCTTTCATCTGTGAAGAGCACAGGGCGCTAGTGGCGAATTTGCCAATCTTGGTGTTCTCTGGCAAATGCCAAACGTCCTGCACGGTGTTGGGCTGTAAACACAACCCCTACCTGTGGACATCGGGCCCTCATGGAGTCTGTTTCGGACCGTTTGAGCAGACACATGCACATGCACATTTGTGGCCTGCTGGAGGTCATTTTGCAGGGTTCTGACAGTGCTCCTCCTGTTCCTCCTTGCACAAAGGCGGAGGTAGGGGTCCTGCTGCTGGGTTGTTGCCCTCCTACAGCCTCATCCATGTCTCCTGATGTACTGGACTGTCTCCTGGTAGTGCCTCCATGTTTTGTACACTACGCTGACAGACACAGCAAACCTTCTTGCCACAGCTCGCATTGATGTGCCATCCTGGATGAGCTGCACTACCGGAGCCACTTGTGTGGGTTGTAGACTCCATCTCATGCTACCACTAGAGTGAAAGCACGCCAGCATTCAAAAGTGACCAAAACAGCAGCCAGGAAGCATAGGAACTTAGAAGTGGTCTGTGGTCACCACCTGCAGAACCACTCCTTTTTTGGGGGTGTCTTGCTAATTGCCTATAATTTCCACCTGTTGTCTATCCCATTTGCACAACAGCATGTGAAATTGATTGTCACTCAGTGTGGCTTCCTAAGCGGACAGTTTAATTTCACAGAAGTGTGATTGACTTGGAGTTACATTGTGTTGTTTAAGTGTTCTCTTTATTTTTTTGAGCAGTGTATATATATATATATGCATATATATATATATATATATATATAGTTAAATAGCTCCAACATATGATGATAAAAAGCCATGACAGGGACAGACAATTTTAAACAACTGATTCATTATCTAAATAATAGTGAATATTCCTTAAGTGTGTATACATCCATTAAAGCTTCATACATTTGTTTTTACATCCTTTTATTGTAGAAGGAATAAAAGCACAATAGAATATCCTTTTTATCTCTGATGTATTTGATAAATTGGAAGCTAATCATCTTATTCAGCTGTATGAATATGGTTATAATTTAAACATTTTCCACACTCTGTTAAGCTAAGACTTTAGGGTGCATGGACAGCGCTGGTTTTCAATGACTTAATCCAACAATGGCGATATAAGCTAATGAGAGAGCTGTCAAGAATACTGCAGTGTGTGGGAGGAATAAAATGTTTCGATCACCAGATGAGATGAAAGCAAACCAGAAAGGATATTTTTGACATGTCAAGAGACCTGTTTTTTTTTTTATCTAGAGAAAAGTAACTTTAGCAGTACAGAGTCATTCTCTTGTGTAGGTCGGTTCATTGTGAACAACCGGTTACTTAATATAAAGCAAGCTCTTAGTAGGTTACTAACAAACCTAGGCAAGAGGTCGACTATAAATAAACGAATCTCCAGCAAAATGTCTTACATGGTAATAGTACAAGACAGTATCACAGCAGCCCATCGACTATTCAGGTTTGAGTATTTTTATTTTTTTGGTTTCAATTACATTTTTCCAATACATGAGATTCAGCATGTGACAATGTTTCTGCATTCATAGTGTCTTAAAGGGACACATTTGCAGCAAACATGATACAAGTTGCTGTTTATCAAAAGTCTTATAAGATTGCAATTATAGTTAAACTATTTGCTTTTTTTATTTTTGCTTCCTGTTCTTTATTTCTGTGCGATTTATCATTTAATGCAATACAAAAAAGCACACTAAACTAGTTTTTTTCTATCATGTCAATGGAACTGTTTAGTGTAACACGGACTTGTATGAAAGGGAATAAACCAGTCAGAAGTATCCTGAGCTATCAGTAATCACGATAATCCAACCTTTCCAAAAATAAATACACATCTTACTAAAGTCACAATAAATCATTTTTAAAAGGGAAATTATTTTACAATATTTGCAGTAAATACACAGGCTGTGCATATTCTGCAGTGAGCTTTTACCAAACTGATACAGCATACACGAGGACTGCTGTTCTAGTATTCATATGTTGCCATATGTATTTTCTTTTTTGACTTCAATAAATGTACATTTTTTCCATGATTTATTCCAGATGTATTTTTGGGGATTCCATATTGCTGCGGATCAACAAACTTGTCTTGTGTGAAGTATCATTATTTTACCAAACTGACCAGCTTACAGCTTCATCTATCTGATTGTCTCTCTCTGGCTTTCCCAGCCAATCCTTGACCTCATTCACTTGTCTATTTGAGAATAAACTAGCATAGATACCTGTATGATTGCATCTTTCTAAGGGACTCCATGTGATCCCCATGTCCCATCTTTGATTAACAATTTTCATTTATATTGTTTTACCAATTACAATGTTGCTACTGGCTGGATTATACATTCATATGCAGCGATCATAATTTTCTATTAGACATTATTTTACCCCTGTACCAGGAGATTTAATGCAGAATACCCATAACTTTAATGTTGGCTACTACTACTTGACTGAAGTGTTCCTTTAATGAATTGAAAGAAACTTAAGATTGTAATAAAACCTTCATATCAGAAAAGATATAGAAGGCTAAATGGGTTAACCCATGTGTTAGTCCTTTAGTGGCTCTTTAAATGCATTTCCCAGAATTCTTTGCCTGAAGTTGGCTATCCCTGTTATCGATACTTATGTTTTCCATATAGCTATGTATCTAAATTCCAAGGCAATTTATTCAACATAAAGAACCCACTGACATTTCAATGCACAGTAAATAAAGTACTTGTGTTTCTTCCAATGTGCAAATTCTGAATGCACATTTAAAGGTGTATAAATAACAGGGAAATAAAGAAATTGTCATGACTGTTTCATAACAAAGCACTTAGGCTTATAATGGATGCTCTGAACTTGTTTGAACTATTTCTTTATACACTGCATTTGAGAAATAGTTTAATAAATAATTCAGGTGAGAAAGAAAAGAAATAGGAGCCAAAATTTGAAAATACCTCCTAGCTGGTGGATAACCCTCGAAGATTCATACACATACCAA